GTTCCTCACATCGAGAAAAGTGGATTTGACCTACCCCATGTTTAAAACGACCCCGGGGAGTATGTTTTAAACACGTCTAAACATGTTTAAAACTAGATTTTTTTAAAACATGGGGGTAAGTACTAGCCGCCCTCTCCGTTTCAGATTAAATAAATAAAATAAAACATAAACATGTTTTAAACACGTTTTAAACACGTTAAAACCGGTTTTAAACAGGTTTAACCAAGTTTTAAACATTTTCTTAAGGTTTAAAACAAAACCAGAGGCCATGTTTTAAAACTTACCCCCTGTGTTTAAAACTTGAGTTGCCTACCCGGGGTCGGACTGCTCTTCTTCCCCTTGTGCTGCACCTAGTTTTCTCTTGTCCATCCTCCAGAATGCCCAGGATTGTGTACGTTACCATCGATATGGGGCTGGCCAGAGCGTACTTGCAAAAGCTCGGCGGACAGATCTTGTGTTCTGAGGTTAAAGAAGGCGGACCTTAGCATAGTGGCCGACTTTGTTCGGGCGATGGAAATGAACGTGAATAAGGTCAGACGCTTTGAATTCGGACATGTGCATTTCAACTCCACATTTTCAGCCCGTTAAGAATCACCGATAGTTACGTTCCGAAGTTGAAGTCTAAAAGAGGTCTGGAGAAGGAGACGTCAGAAACAAGTGTCAGCGTCTGGTCATCATGATGGTTGCTCGATTCAATTCTGCACCTCATGCGCGCGGCGAAGAAGCATCGGGTGCACGAATGGAAGTGCGTCTTAAAGCTCGTCTACCCCGCGGTGAGCTTGTTGTGAGTGTTTGCGCGCTTCCTTTGCAAGAATTTCGGCCCGATTAAAAGCCAAGGTTCCAGCTTCTTGTTCCTTCTTGGCAGATCGTACGCTCAAAGAGAACGCGTTATCGGCCTAGCCTCTGACAAGCAGGACACTTGTTGATACAGTGAGCATGCAACTAGTCTTTGCTCGCGTTGTCGACTTGGTCGCCTCGATGATGGTCGAGTGATCTGCTCTCAATCATATGTTTCCTAAATGCCAATCTTTTCTTTTTGTCGTCTTGGCTTTACCGGAAACGCCGACCTTACTTACGTTTTTGAACGGTCGTTGCCCTCCCTTTCAATAAGTTTCATAAACAAGCAGCTTCGGCTACTAAGCAGCTGCTACATGCCAGTCAACCGCAAGGTAAAAGCTCTTGGAACGATTCCGGAGACGACAATCTTTCCATTCCCTGCCGGATTTGCCGCGTACGGTTTTTTACCTTGTGAAAGCAACTCAGTGTCGCTTAGCCTTGTCATTGCCTCTTTGCAGTGGCGCTTTCTAAGCTTCTCTAAGTGCCAACTTTCTCGAGCCTCATTGCTGTTTTTCGAGCGAAAGTCGCAAGCTTGCGTCACTGCGTGGGTGAGAGGATCCACCTTTGAATCTCCATTGAAGGCTCGCAGTCTCTTGTTACCGCTCGTTCAACACTTAGCCAGGCGTTGACCATGCGCCAACCATTTTCTGGTAATTGAGCGTCAAGCGTTCTCTGGTTAACAATCCCGTCAACCAAACCTGCCCTGGTTGACGTACAGGCCGGCACAACGCGTTTTCACAGGAGTCAACCAGTCAATCAATCAGGGCCCAACCATACAACCAAACTCTTCGAGGCGCCAATTCAACTAGACCGGGCCTGGCTGACGGGCCGCTCCACCGGGGTCTGATCCCCGTCAACCGGCCACGGGCTGGTTGAAAGGTCTCACCCAATGTTGGTTGATATAGACTACGATCGACTGATTATATATCAAGATATGTACATGGATGTGTGGAATCAGATTTTGTTACAATACTGCAGTGGTACGAGAATTGTAGTCCATGCCACTGAGTTGCGAACGGTCCTGGACTTTGAGAAGTCCACTACGCGGTGTACAACACCTAAAACGATTCTGATTCTAGGTGCATGACAGTAGGCTTCAGCAATTGCAATAACACAACAGCATGCTTGAGCGCAGCTGCCCCGGCCATTGGGATTTTAAGATGCGTTTGAGCATGTGCATTCATATACTGCCTCGTACGCTGATTGACAATTCGTGATACTTCTAGACTTGCTTTACCTGAGGTATGAGTAATCAAATCTAAAATGTTTCTAAATCAAGGTATTTTACGGAAGCTTGTTGACTTCATTCGCGGCTCATAAACATCTATGCAACCTAGTATACGTCCTGTCAAAGGACATAAAGGAAAGAAGATATTTTGTTAAAGGTCTGAGAAGCGATTATGAAGGACGTGATCTGTAACGTTAAGCTTGATTTGCTTGATTGCGCATACAGATCAAAAACACGTCAGATGTGAATACCACGTTGCTCTGTATGTGCGTGCATATGCATGTGCATGGTCGGTAGCCCGGGTATCAACTTTCAATAAATGATTGCTTTCTCTACTCTCACAAACGAGCTATGGAGCTCGTTAATTTGTGGGGCCGACAGTATCGAGTATCCTAAAATAAATCTTAGCCTATATCGAGATTGAGTCACCTCAAAGAGTGCAAAAAATCCAAAGAATCGTTGGTCTACCAATCCCTGATGGTAACACTGAGCTGTGGTTCTGATAACCTGCCTCCGGACAATCTGCCGCACGTCCGGATTTGAAAAGCTCAGAGTTGATTTGCATTGTTGCAAGTCTTGAGCGTCACTAGCACAGCCCTACAGTATTGTCGTTCTGAATTCAAAATAGCAACCGCGTACTAGGACGGCGTACACTGTACACAGCGGCCGCGTTTGGTTGAGCTATCAATCCCCTACGAGTAGACCTGCCAAGCTTACGTGAGTACAGTAGTCAACCCGGGTAGTCGTAGAGGTAAACCGGGGCATTGGCAGTGCCTGCCCATCCAGACATCTCAGCGTGGTACATACGCTCATAGGAGCTTAGCAGGATTGTGTACATCCCCATGTCAAAGTCAGTCCACCCGAAGGACGTTTGGAACCCGGTTCCCCCTGGGTTGATGACAGGGTAAAGATTTACGAGGTTGTGTACAGCATCCCACACCCCGTGAAAGACGGTGCGACTCGCTCTGCGCTGGTTTGCTGGATCTGGGTTACCATAACCGACCCAGATGCCATTGAAGTGATGCTTCAAGCACCCAGGCTGTTCCGACAAGCGAGTCAGAGATTTGAAAGAGAAGATTCGGTGCCCAGTCGTCTCATCAACGACTTGCCCAGGGGCGGCCACACCTGATGAGCTGTAGGGCCACGGATCTTGAATAATTGCGCCAGCCGGAAAGTGTTGGCGGACGTGGTTCTGCCACGCATTTGCTCCAGGCCCATTCACATAAGTGGTGGGAAGGTACATGGCCGCATTTGGTCCCGGAACGAACCCAGGTGCAATGTATCCCCGCCATTGTAAGGGATGGGAGTGCCATCATCGTTGACGAGGAAGTCGGGATCGAGTGTGTGGTGGACTATTATCTGTGCTGGTATGTGGCCTGGGCCACCAGTATCCGTATGTTCATAGTCCCATTCCCGACGATCTCTGACTCTAGCTGTGATGCCTCCGCCTCTGTAACGATTACGACTGGTTAAGCCTAACCTCGTTCTCGACAGGATTTCGTTGACCGCGAGTTAGCGAAACGGCGGTGGTTACGTCTTAACGACGCACTGCGTGGCTGTCTGAAGACGGCGTAATATCCCGGATGGATCGGTCTCAGTAAGCCGATGTCACCGTTCAGGATAAGTTGTGTTCGGCTTCGCCGTTCGATGCAGCCAAGCTTATCTGTGTT